CAATTTGATCATGAGTTATTGACGAGAAACTCCTATGACCGGTGTGACGTCATAAATGACGTCACGGAAGGTCAAAAATGCAAAAGTAAAGCATCGGATCTTGCAAGGAGTGCACGAAATCACGATTCCGTGTGCTTGAGATAGTTTGAAATCATTCCATGCGCAAAAACAACAGTTTCCTTATTTCCCCATTCACTTTTAATGGTGAGGTCACGTGACCTCGAAGAGTAGCAGGCATTAGCAAAAATTGCGAGTAGGGCATGACAGAAAGATGATTAATGGTTTGTATGGCATGGCCATTTTTAGCGGCTCGAAATAACATTTCTCAAAAAGTCTAACTAAAGAACAAGTTGTTGTTGATTATCACTGACTTGTGTTTAGGGGTTAATAATGACTGAATTTTTGAGTTTGGCCCAGAAATGTTGATAGCATTGTGTGCGTTGATCAATTCTGAGCTCAGGGATATATATTTTATTTAGATTATAAGCGTTTGTTTTTCACAACTTCCAGCGTTTTAAAGAGCGCCGGGCCTTCAGTAGAGCGGCGAGGTGACAATTGCCCCTACATCATGTGGTTTACTGGCACATATCTCGAAAAGTAGCAGGGAAAAGCAGCAAAGCACCTATATGGAACAAAAGATGAGTAATTAGAGGCTAGTATAAAATGTTCATTTTTAGCCGCTCGAAATAACGTTCTTATAAAAGTCTAATTAAAAAATTGGATATGATTTTAAATTACGTCTTGCAGCTGCTTGCAAACAGCTAGCTTATCTTGCAGAAAAGCGATGCAATATGTCAGAATGATGTTGGCACAGTGAACAACAGTGCCCTGAACTAGTCTGACAGGAAATTTCGTTCAAAACGACGATTGGTCAACTAATAAATTACCCCTAAAGTTCATATTAAAATCGGTAAATGTGGTGGCCTATAGAGAGTCTAAATTGTCTTGTGTTTGGTGACAACTGACGACCTCAATTTTGACCTTAGGGCAAAACTAGCTTCGGAATCGTATTCTTCGATCAATTTGGGATTAAATGATACCTATTTTGTTCATATTGCGGACAGTCAGTTTGGGGGAATTTCTAGCGCTTTTTCAGGCTGCCGGCCTACAGTGTGCCGCCGCAGACGAGACGCCGCTGCAGCGTCAGTGGCTGACTGTGTGGCGGGCCGCCGCAGCCGCAGCTCGTCCACCACACGGCCGATGGACCGTGACCGGCACCGCGCCGCTGAATAACTCGTGCAAGACGAGAGGCATGAGCCGGGGAGGGACGCGCCGAGACGGATCCAGAAAACGAGCATAAAAGTCGCACTGTTGAGTGTTGAACTAAATCAACTAATTGGCTGCAAGATCCACCAGTCCTGTCCACCACTGCCAGGCTCTTCAGCATCGCCGTGGTTGATCCACTCTCAGGTCAAAAACCATACCTCTGCCGTCCATTCGGACCCGGGCGGTGGCGGGGCTCTGACCCGCCACTGTATGCCGTTCCGCGCCGTCACGGCATCTGGCGCGGTCACCAGTCGCCTCCCGATGACTCGACACGGCGCCCGGTGGTGACGCTCGATGACGGCTCAGCCGATGACGCGCCGGTGACGACCTTGCCTCCGTCGGGGCTGACGACCTCTGATTCTGGTATGTCCCGACAGCTGGCCCCGGCAGTCCATTCCATCTCTTCACAAAACGACTATGACATTAGGCTTTAGGCGTCTTATGCTACGAGGGATGTGAGCTTCAGAACAGCACCTGCCCCATTTTGAACTCCCGTGGTAGAACTAACCCTTGTGTGTTCAAAGGGAAGCCCAGCCGAGAGGGGATGTTCTCGTCGTTTCGCCCTAAATCAAAATACAGCTTCATGGAAAATAAAATGAGTGCGTTGGCCGTAACGAGACGCAACATTAACTCTATTCCTGGCGGGCTCCGCCGGGACAAGAAACTGGCGGGGGGGGGGCCGATTCGGCCCCCCCTTCAGATCTCAAAAACTACACATCGCAGCGACAAACGGCGAACGGCGTTCGATAGGTCGTTTAAAGATCTACAACTTTTACATACAACATTTTCAGGTCAGGTCAATATTGAGGTAACCAGAGGTCATCAACGATAAAATGTTTTGGAATTAGTTACCTATATAACTTTTAAACTAAGAAACATAGAGACATAAAACCAATACATTTTTTGTTGCTCTCGCCGAGGCGATGCGAAATAAGTATGTGATGACCTTCACAGGTCAATTTGAAATTTGACCTGAGGTCAAGGTCAGGTCATTCATCAATGAGGTTGTGGGGTATGGTCATGCTGCATACCAAACGACGCGCCTTGACCAGGCGAGCAGTTTGGTACCACTTACAAGTCTTTAGCACCATCATGTCGTGATTTATTTACAGAAAAACGATTTATGACGTCACATGACCTCAGATGACCTTTGCCGATGCCCCTGTCAATCAGCGGCACCAGGATCATCACCGATGAGATAATCTTCCATAATACTGAAAGAATTGGGTGGTTTTGACTCGTTTACACGAAGCAGGAGGCGTTTCAATATTTTCCCATAGGCTTGCAATGTAAAGGTCACGAGTCTGGCCTGACCTCAGGTCACAGATATGAAAATTCTGAGATATACAAATTGCACATACTGGTACCCTAACTAAAGCCTGAAGAGAAGAAATTGATCGGTCAAAAACTCTAGCTCTGGCGTGATTGCAAACTTTTCTGAGGTAGGGTCACCAAACCGCTTCTGGTGACCTGACCTGAGATCAGATCAACTCAAAATTTTCAGAAATGTTGCGTAAAAGCCTTTTAGTAAAAGTCAGAAAATTTGAGCTTCCTAGCTCAAAGCGTTCGGGAGAAATAACCAAAAAACCTCAGGGGGGGGCTCCTGAGGCCCCCCCCCCGCCAGGAATAGGGTTAAGTTATCAGTCGCAGGTCAACCACTGACCAGTGAGATCAGGCTAACGACCCAAAGTTGGGTGTATATATGGTTTTTGGTAAATTACTCCGATAAAATGGTCATAGAGTAACGACTTTCGCACCGTCGTGTTCGTCATGATCAGACGCGTTGAATGGTCAAATTATCGTTAAGGAAGAAGTCAACTTACGGTGTAAACCCTTGGTCAGCGTCAGGTCACGGCCGTTCAGGCTACGAAATAGGTCAAAGGAGGTCATAATAGGTCGTTCTGAGTCCATTGTTGATGTTCCCGATTCGCTAGCTCATTTTGAGCGAGAGTTAATAACGAATAACTTCGATGACCTCAAACGACCCATGCAACATCACAGACGTGTAAGGTTTCCAATGCGAAATCCAAGTATCAGAGCTAACAAAAAGTGTATGGTGCTTGAATTGGTCTTCGATCGTTCCCGGTGTCAAAAGGCATCCGATGACTTATACACTATGCAATGACCAGTAGCGGCGGAACACCTTCAATTAAGGGGGGAGGGGGCAATGCCGACTTTTGGTCCCATTCTTTCCATGCAACGCCCATAGGGCTAATGTTAAAATGCCAAAATCAAAGGGGGGCACGGTGCCCCGGTGCCCTCCCCGCTCCGCCGCCTATGGCAATGACCCTGACGAAAAAAAATATGGGATACAAGTTAAAATTGTGAGGGCTCGGAAGCTACCAGCATTCTGTAAGCTTCATCTCCCTGTGAAATATTCACTTACACTGATGGGGCTGAAAAGTTGCAACATGTTTGGACAATGCAGTTTACTTGTGACGTCACAGGCTAGTGACCTGACCTGAGAATACGATTAGTGTCACAAAATCTGGCTGCCTCAAAGGTCAGGTGAGTAGCATTCAGCTCTTTATCGTTAACCCGTTCCGAGTGATCGCGAGAAAACCGCCTGGGGTGTGATCCCCCCCCCCCCCTCCACCTTCGGCTGGGGAGTGATGGGTCAAGACCCGAGGAGGTCCCATAGCACTCGACAATGCTGCCGCTACCTAACAACCTACCCTTCCAGCAGCGCAGTGTCCTCACTCCTCAGTTGTTCAGTAGAGACCCCTACACACTGAGCGTTACCGTTTGCAGCGCCCTCTGGAGGTGCTCACTGCTCATTCAGCACTGTCGCTGCAGTCTCTATCCTTGCTTTATAGCCTTGGTATGCTCGCTCTGGCTTGTTTGTTTTGTTGGGACTTTGGAGTGAGGCCCTTTCGGCCTGAAAAGACCATTGTAGAGCTATGGAGTGGGAGGATAGGGCGTAGCCGTAGACATTGGGCTGAGTTGTGCGGGACACCGACAGCGAGACCGTCCCGGTGGGACCGGATTGTCCCGCTGGCACAGTCCGCCCGCCTCCCAAACGGTCACCCCGGGGAGGATTTACGGGCCCCGGCCCTGGTATGGACCCAACCTCATCCACCCGTTGTCAGGGCGGGGTGACCGCCAGCCCGGACAGGGAGAGTAAGGAGGATGCGATGGGTTTGTTCGGAGGATGCATGCTTGATCGCTGGTCCCTCGGGCATAGACTGGATCAGCCTTTCCGCCGGGTATTTCTCAATCGGAATCCGAGTCAATAACAATTGGGAAAAGGGAATGAGCACTTTCACGAAGGAGCAGCCCATCTGAACGGAGGGACAGCTCAACTTCTCATAAAGCCATAGTTGAGGGTGACTCCAAAACATTGGCATGTCCAGATATCAACTACGATCTCGATCAGACGAAAGTCGCCGTGACCTAAAACGCTACCTGGCCTCAACCACCGAGCATGACCTACCTTATTACTTAAGGGCAATTGTGCCCCGCTGAAGTTCTCCGCCATGTGAACGATCTGGTCTGCTGTCAATGCTGACTTGATCTGCATACTGCATACGGATAGACAACCCACCCGTATTCTCAGTACGGAGGTAATGAGCGATCGCAGGTTCCTGAAATGTGATACCTGCCCCTTCAGTGACTGCCACTGTTCATATACGACGGTGCGAACCCTACTCGTGTGTTATAACACCCAGGCCCGCGCCACCCATGACCAACCTACGCCGTATCCAAGCGCTCGCCACAACCGTAAACGCATAAAGTTCGAGCATTTCATACAATTTATTTCAACAGTAATAACAAGAGATCACGGATGCCTTTCGGCCCACAGTAGGTTGTTTAAGTTACCACCCTTAGTACGGCTCTCTAGCACGCCTCGCCACAAGTTCTAAATCTAACGTCACCATTCACGGCGAATCACTTGAAAAACAACGTGATAACATAATCGGGGATACAACGCGCCACACTTTTGTACATGGACTTAATATAAAAGGTAACGTGGCTATGAAGAGAAAGCCACAGTGAGCAAAAGTCATGGACATGCAACCGACAAAGCGTTACAACAGCCCTACACAAACGGGTGGCCAAGTCTCAGCCAGTTTGCTCAATCACATCACATGAAAGCAGACGGGGACTGACTGACCAGAGTTTAACGGCTGGGTGGCGCGCGCACAGTAATACATCAACAGCTGGCTGGCGCGCGGGCGCCGCGTATTGTCTCCACTCCTACCGGTACGGTAACGGTCCGATTGTAAGACTGGGTGTGTATGCGAGTGTCTGTGTGTCGGTGTGTTTGTGTGTGTGTAATAAGCGTCGCGTCGCAGTCCGGTCGGTTCTCAGTCGTCATCAGAGATGTCCTGGTAGCTCGAGTTGCCGATGTGCTGGCCACCCCGCTCGCCGTCGCCGGCCGTGGAGCCGGGCGGCAGGCCGCCGTTGGGCGTCTGGTACGGGTAGTAGCCGGCTGCCATGGCCCGCTTCAGATGCTCGGCGCTGGCCGCCTCGGCCTCGGCCCGCTCCGCCGCCTGTTCGGCCGCCTTCTGCTCGGCAGACGGTGGCTTGCCGTCGGAGGGCGGCCCGGCGTCCGGGGTGAGCCGGGCGCGCTTCACGGGCTCGTAGGTGGTGTGCGGGCTGTGCGGGCGCACGGTGCCGCGCGAGGCCGGCCGCTCCTTCTGCTCGCCACCCTCGCCGCCGGCCGTGTCCGGCGTGCGCATAGCCTCGGCGATCCGGTACTTGACGTAGTCGAGCGGGCTGGCGATGCTGGCCCGGCTGGTGGGCTCCATGTAGGCCGAGCGGCGCTGGTGCTGCTGCTGCTGCTGCTGCTGCTGTTGGAGCCACAGCGCCTGCTGCTGCGCCGCCGACAGTTTGGAGGGGTCGCCCATGCCGTCGGGCCGGTCGCCCGGTCCCCCCGGCGGCGTCACCGTCTCCCGGCGCGGCGGCGGCGGCGGCAGGTAGCCCTGGCTGGCCGGCGGCCGGTGGTTGGCCCGCTCCGGCGAGCCGCTCTGCGCCACTCGGATGATGTGCCGCTCCTCGGCTCGGTAGCGCGCCCGCTCCGCCTCGGCCGGCGACTGCGGCGGCGGCTCCGGCTGGCGGGGCGGCAGTGCCTTCCGGTAGCGGTACGGGTAGTCCTGCGCGGATGGCATCTGAGGACTGGCGGACGGGCCGCCGCCGGCGCCGCCCGGCGACAGGTGCTGTGGCCGGTGGCCGGGCGGCGCCATCGGCCGGCCCTGGTACGCCATTGGGCTCAGCGAGCTGGCACTGGAGCGCGGCATCTGCAGCATGGCCATGCGGGCGGCGTGCGGCTCGAGCGAGTGGTACGGCTGCTGCGGCGGCCGGCCGCCCGGCGCTGCGTACAGCGGGCCCGGTCGGGACACGGCCAGCGACAGCGGCGTCGAGCGCGCCGGCCGCGAGTCCTCGTGCGACGACGGCGGCTCCATGGGCGGGCCGCGCGGGCTGGCGCGCTTGTCGTTCTGCTGCTCGAGCAGAAGCACATCCTTGGCGGCGGGACTGCGCGACACCTTGTACGGCGAGGCCCTCAGGTCGGCAGGGTGGTCGGCCGCAGAGGACACCGGCTGGCCGCCGCTCTCCACCTGGTTAATCGACCGGTTGATAATGGTGTCGATCAGGCTCATGGTGGTGATCTTATCCTCTCCGAGCGGCCGGCCGCCGCGCAGCGCCTGTGCCTGCGCCTGTCCCATGGCCTCCTTGGTGAGCGCGTACGTGCCGCGCAGCTGCTGCTCGTGGGAGGACGGCGGCCGGCCGTAGCGGGCGGCCATCTCGCGCTGCAGCTGCTCCTCGCGGCCGGGGACCATCAGACTGCTCTGGGCCACGGCCACGTCCACCAGTGTGCTGAAGTTGACGTCCTGGCCGTACTGGGAGGCCGCCGACGGCTTGTGGTAGCTGTCGTGCGGCGCCGGCACGGACGGCCCGGCCTTGCTGGGCGGCCGGCTGGCCGTCGGCCGCTGGATGACGCCCTGCCGCTGCGGCGGCGGCTGGTGCGGCGGCGGCGCGTGGTGGTGCTGCTGGTGGGGCGGCGGCGTGTCGCGCGCCGCAGCGGCAGCCGCCGCCGCCGCCGCCTGGTGCCGCATGTAGCTGGAGACGGGCGGGTAGCCGGCCGGCGGCTGCGGGAAGTACAGCGACTGCTGCTGCGGCGACGGCGGCGGCGGCTGGCCGTCCAGGCCGGGCGTGCTGCGCGGCTCCGATTTGACCTCTGGCGGCCCGCCGCGGCTGTCCCGGCGGCCCATCATCTGCTGTGACGTGATGTAGTCGTTGAGCAGCACATGCCGCGAGGAGAGCTGGTCGTGCGGCGAGGGCGCCGGCTGGCGCGGCGCGGCCTGCTGGTGCTGCGCCGCGTGGTGGTGGTAGGCGGCCGACACGGCGCCCGGCGCGTACGGCGGGTAGCCCGGGTGGCCGCCGGGCGACATGCGCGCCGCCGCCTTGTAGTGCTCGGGCGGCACGCGGCCGTCGTAGCTGGCGCCGGGCCGCATGCCGTCTTGCACCACCACCAGCACGCCGCGCGAGTCGTAGCCGGTGGTCGGGTGCTCCTTGAGCTGGGGCGGCGCGGCGCGCTTCTGGTCCGGCTGCAGCGGCGTGCCCTGTGTGATGCTGCCGCCCTTCTTCTGGGCCGTCTGGTGCGGCGGCGGCTGCTGGGGCGCCATCGGGCGCAGCAGGCCCTCGTACGGCGCCACGTGCGGGATGTTGGCCAGCGGCGTGCCCTGGGTGATGGAGCCGGACCCGGTGCGCACCGAGATCGGGCTGGTCTTCGGGTCGGGCCGTCCGGGCATGTGCGCCGGCGGCGGCCCGGGCGGCGGGCCGGCCCGGGAGCTGGTCAGCGGGGGCGGCGCCGGCTTCAGACCGGCCGGCTTGGGCGGCAGGCCGCGCGGCGCCGGTGACGCCGGTCGCGGCGCGGCCATCACGTGCGGCGGCGGCGCCAGCGCGGCGCGCGGGTCCGTCATGAACACGGGCGGCTGAGACGGCGAGCGGATACGCATGTCCGGCGAGTAGTAGGTGTCGCGCGGAGGTTCCAGCCGGTGGGGGTCGGGCACGCCGCGCGGCACCATGGCCGGCCGGTGCGCCGGCGGCGGCGGCGGCCCCGACTGGCCGGGCCGGTGCTCCAGCGGCCGTTTCAGACCCACCGGCGCGCTGGAGGAGGCCGGCGGCGCCGCCGGTTTGCGCACGCTGAGGTCCTGCACTTCGTTGCTGTCGGCGCGCGAGAGCACGGCGGCCGGCCGCGTCATGGCCAGCGGCGACACGCACGGTTCCTGGCCGCCCAGCAGGCTCTTGATGGTCAGGCTGGGCGCCGAGAGGGCGCCGGGTCCCTGGGCCAGCTCTCGGTCCTTGCACAGGCCGCGGAACGACATGTTGATAGTGTCGTCGATCAGGTCGCCCATCAGCACCTTGTTGCAGTTGGCCAGGGTCGGCCGCGGCGACACAGACATGGTGGAGGCGGGCGTGCCGGCGCGCGCCCCCAGGAACTTGGGCTCGGCCTTGTCGTCTGCGTCGTTCGTCGCCTCGTCGGCCGATACCTGGCGAAGGAGAGACACCGGGTCAGAATGACGTGTTACGGGTCAATCATTCGACCGAAACGTAAATGCAGCAGTACCTATGAATATTTGAATAAGCGCGTAATTTCGCACTGGTTACATTGATAGTGCTACAATCAAGACATAGTGCGAAAAAATGAAGCACCTAAGCAGCCGCACCAAACCTCCAATCCTTCCCTCATCGCGGACCCACGTTCCGTCACTCACCGTCGCCGAGCTGTCTCCCTTGTCGTTGTTGTTGACTGTCACGGTGGGCGGCACGCTCCCGGCGGCGCCGCTGGCTGCCGGCGGGGCGGGACTCGGCGTCTGGTGCGCCTGCCGCGCCGCCAGCGAGGCCGCCGACGCGCCGGCCGGCACCAGGTCGTCGCCGCCCGGCGGCAGCTCGCCGTTCGGCGTGCCGTTGGTGGTCGGGGCGAACGGCGAGGGCGCAGACGTCGTCGACTCGCTGTCCTTGCGCTGGGCCGGCTCGGCGGCGGCCGGCGCCGGCACGGCCCCCGTGGAGTTGGTGGCCGCTCCGGCGGCGGCAGCGGCGGCGGCGGCGGCGGCCCGGGACTCGGGGTCGTCGGCGCTCGACGTGGAGCTGCCCGACTCCTCCTCGTCCGTGACGACCACGTGGCCCTCCTTGTCGCCGGTTAGCTGCGGGCGGGCGGGACACACACTCAGTCAGTCAGTCAGTTGGCCGTGCCCCCACCGCCGCCGGCCGCCGCCCACACGGCCCGCGGATCGATCAACCACACCGCATCAGCGCCCGACACACGGACTCATTTCCATCAATTTCCCATTTAGCGTCGTTAGCTTGTAAATGTGGCCGATTATTGAACCCACACACCAGCCGGGCCGACCCACGTCCATTCGGCACACGACTATCTATGGCATTCAAGGTCAAACAGCCACCACAGGTCAGCCACAGGTCCGCTCCAGACCCGGACCCTCTTCACAACCCATCCCCGCCGCGCCTCACTCACCCGCTTGTACTCGGCCATCACCTCGTCCAGCTTGTGCTTGAGCTTGTGGTCGATGTAGAAGCGTTTGCACTGGCTGGCGCTGCGGCCGCCGACCGTCTCGGCGAGCCGCTGCCAGTCGGGTCCGAGTGTGCGCAGGCCGGACCGGAGCCGCTCGATCTCGGCCTCCGACCACTGGGACGGCTCCTCGGCCGGCTCGCCCGGCGTCAGTTTGCGCGCGATCCGGTTGTGGCACGCCGAACAGCACTTGACCACCTCGGGCGTGATCTCTGCGGCAGCGGCGGGACACCGGTCAGTACCGACACGGAGTCGCCGGCCAAAGGGGGCAGGCGGGAGGGGACAGGGCACGGTACCACACGGATCACCGTACAGCACAGCGCCGCACTGCACGGCCGCCTCGAGACGCCCAACCCACAGATGCCCGTTCACACAGTCCGGCCGGAAAACCGCCCCACAAAAAGGCACGTGACGTCAGACTGAGACAACAGCTGTCAACGGACCAGGCTCGGCACACAGCTACCATAGGGAACGAACAACATGACCGACTCACATCAGCGGGAAATCCAAACAACAAACAATATTTCTTCCAGCCTTCCATCGGGCTGACATGGTCCAGTGTTTCCCAGAATGTCTCTTTCTCAAAACTGCACCAGACATTGCACCTCAGACACAATGGATCAGCAATGACTCCGACACGACTTACAACTCACATACCCAGACAGTAACATGACGGAACCCAGCCCTTGCCTTTCACCTAGCCCACCCTACCCCCATACTCGATCGCCCAGGGATGCGCAACTTACGCAGTTCGAGCGCGATGGCCTGCCTCGTCTCGGGCGCGATCTCCGTCCAGCGAGCCGGCAGCGGCCGCAGCCGCTTGACGCGAAACTTGGGCGTCGGACACGTGGGGATCGGACACTTGACGCTGCAACGAACAGAGCGAGAGAGAGGGAGCATTCCGTCAGACGGGCAGCAGGAGCGCATATGCCACTGGACTAAATACGGGCGAAATGTCAACACCAATACCTCGCGAATCCCCAGCGTAAACATGACTTCAGCAACCCAAACAAGTCACGACATTTGCAGACGACGTACGTCTCAGCAATACTGAGAACGCAATCACAGAGCCACCCCGGGTAAACATGGTCAATAGACGGACATATTGGCAGTTCCTATAGCAACGCGACAGACCAGACCCAATGCAGCTATTTGACTTCAAAACAGACAACCTTCCGTAAATATGACCCAAATTGTTGAAGCTACATCTGGAAAATAACTGAAGCACGTTAAATAACAAAATTAATCATAATCATCCAAACATTATTGTCCTAAGTTCTAAGCGGAGGGGTCACGTCAGTTCAGTTCGAGAGCCGTCTGAGCAGATGGGGTCAGAACAGGTCACGCCGGTGTACTCACTGCGAGTAGCGCCGTTTGACGGAGCGGCAGCGGCACGAGGTGCAGACGCGCGCCTGTTCCGGCACGCCCTGCTCCGAGAGGCCGTAGATGGACGCGTGGGAGGCCGGCAGCGGCCGCGACTGGCCAAAGTGCTCCAGCTGCGCCTGGCACACGGCGCACGGGTGCGGGCCGCCCTTCCCTGCCGAGCGGAGAGCACAGATACGGTCAGACAGACATGGGTCACGGTCAGAGCGTGCAAGAACACAGGCCAGGTCAGGCACGGACACATTCTGGGGCAGGCCGGAAGGAGTGCGGACGCAGGTCAAGACGTTCTGTGTTCCGAACGACAGCGCGCGTACGGTAGTCACCTCACGTCAGCCACTGGTAGTCACCGTACGGAGCCCGACGCCGGCCGATCTCACTCCCCGCCACCATGGCACAGCCGAGTCCGACGTTCGACCTAACCGAGCGCGGCTGGGCGTGGGCCATGACCTCCGGCGGCCACCGCCCCCCGCGGTGAACCCGCAGCGGGTCCGCGCCGAGCCGGGACTGCGCAACAGCCGGTGACAGGCCCCAGTCCGCAGAACGGGCGCCGCCGCCGGCCCACACGTGTCCGCGGGTGTCGGCAGCAGCGGCGGCGCGGACCCGCCGGCACCAGGCGCTGGATCCGCGGGCCCCCGGCGCCGCGCCGCAGACCAGTCAGGTTGTCACCACGCCGCCGCCCCTCAATGAACCCGCCGGCCGGTCAATGGCTCCGAGCTATTTCTGACAGGCCAGCTGCTGTGGGCCGCTTGCTTTGGCGAGTTGCTGACAGGTGCAATGATAAAATCGAATTAACCGTCTAATCGAAATTTATCAAAGGAACAATAAGAAAATATGATTAATTTTGGTGATAAAAACAACCTCACTTGAACCTGATGCTGACACAAATATGACCTAGGTGCCAAGGTAGCCCAGGCGTTCCTACAACTTCAGAATCGGGCGACAACAGCATGGAACAGCGCAACAAAACGGTGACAGAAACCTATACGACCGCGGCGACTCGCAAACAACACAGGCCTCGTGCAACCACTCACATTAATGACAAAAACTCGACAACATGACGAACAAAACCCATAGTCATTTTTAAAAAGTGGCTTCATTTATGAGAAATGCTGTCCTGGGGATTCAAAGACAACTCCAAACACAAAACACTCAGCGAGCCATTTCTAATAGGGCTGTTGACAGGACGGCATATTCCCAACTGAAACTGTAAATATTTAAGTACATCAAACAAAACATCCTTCCACTTGGGTGAGAGCCCTGTCCCAACAAATGAACGGCAGGTGGGGTGGCCCCAGCCGCCGGACAGCCAATTACACTGATGGGCCGACTGACTACACAGAGTAGCGGGAGCCAGGGCGCAGATCCTGCAGAGCTAGTAGCTGCGTCCAGCCTGCATCACCACGGAGGCCAAGATTCTTCAAGGAGTGGTTCTTTCGGTCAAACCGCACCACAAAAACGGCCGGCCGTGGTAGTGCGTCTCCCAGAACAGCTGCTCAGTGCTCAGCACTCCCATCCATAGATGATAGAACCTAGGACATTTCCGGCACAGCTCACAAGGAACGAACAAGTGCGGTATTGACTGCGCTTTGTCGATGTGTCAAAAATACCTACCATGCCCCTGTATGATAACCTAACTACCGTGCTCAGCATGATACACCACGAAATTGGTAATTCCGGACATGCCTCTATTGGATACATAATACATATTGCACCGTGCCACAATAGAACTTCCAGCTAATGCCCATCCAATTACTGAGTGTGGACTGCGGCGCGCCTGCACGCCCTCCATTCTTCACAGTGGCAGTATGAACGTCCTCTGTGTGACCGAGTGTCGGCGGAGCGCAGCATCCTCTATACAGCCGGCCGGCCGCTCACCCATCCATTGAGTGGGTGCGCAAACAGAGCCGTGTTTACCGGGTGCGGCCGACAGTGGCGAGCGGCGCCAATAACGGCCGGCTCCGGCCGCACAGCCGGCCGCCGGCCACGGCAATAATCGCCCCAGCACTAATCAAAGAAAGCACACTAACAACACACAGACTCGCCACCGCCGCAAGGCAAACGAATCCCCAACGAGCGCGGACGGCCGACAGCGCTCTAATCGAAAAAAGCGTCGGCGCCGTCCGCGGGGACCACCGGAGGGCGGCGCTCGATGCGGCTGTTTACTTTTGAAAGCGTTTGCGGCCGACAGGAGACGTCCCGGCGGCGGCCCGCCGGTGAGCCGTCCGTCAGTTCGTGCCGACGTTTGGCGGTGAGTGACGGCGCCGCTCTGCACCATGGACCGCCTGGCGCTCTCAGCAGCGGCTGCCGGCCGTCCGCTGCCGCGCGCCGTCGGCGACCCGCTGCCGGCCGCCCTGCTGCTCCTGCACGCCGGCTGGCTGCCGCTGACCCTACGGCCAGACATCGTCACCGAGCTGCTGCGCCGACCGGCCGCCGCTGACCAGGCCGGCCGGTCGGTACAGCGCGGGCAGGCTGAAGAGGACGCCGCACCACAGCCAGCACCGGCAGCGTCCGACGACAATGAACCGGCGCCGCTCGACCTCCGATCGACGGCACGAGCTCTCACAGAGGCGCCTCAATCACCGTCATCACCAGCGTCATCACCGGCGGCAGCGGCACCGGGACCGGCCCCATCGGCCACCTCCTCCCCGCCGCCGTCGCCACCGTCACCCCTGAACGTCGCCTGCTGCGACGGACCAGTGCGGTTCCAGCGCGTGCCAAACCAGCATTTCCGCTGCGTGCGCGCCTCCCAGCCCCCTACTGGCGTCAGCAGAGCGCACAAACGAGCGCCGTCGGGCACCGGGCCGGCCGCCTTTCCGTGCAGGACGTGCGGCGCCCGCTTCCCCAGCTATTACTTCGTCCATAAACATCGCAAACGACAGCACACCGAGCCGATTACCACGCAGAACGCCGCCGGCGACGAGTGACGCAAGCGGCAGCGTGACCGATGGACCTCGAGCGCGGCGACGGAGCACCTCAGTTTCAGGGACGTGCGATAGGACAGTGTAATCTAATCGAAGCACTCGCGTGGTTAGGGATGTTCGCACTAAGAGCAATAGTAAAGTGTGTTGACCCGAAGGATCAAGAATATGCAGTTTTATCATGTCTGAAACACTCGATTCTGTATAAAAGGCCTAGTGTTTGAAGCACATGGTTCGAGCAGCGTTCAATAAATGATCTCATGGCATGCGATCGTGTTATCTGTAGAAACACTTGACTAAACTGAGCCAAGCACCTGCGCCCTCCCCTCCACCCGGCCGATATCGACCCCGACTCACCGGTATTCTCGTTCTCGTCGTCGCTGCTGACCACCGCCTTCCGCCTCTCTTCCTCGCCTTTTCGCCGCTCGCGCTTCTTGCCGGCCTTGGTCTCGCTGGCGCTGCTGTGGAAGGGACGGAGCGGGTCCTGTCAGCAGCCGGCGGTCACAGCGCCCGCTCACACCAAACACCGCCCGGCCGGACCCCCATCCGCCGCGGCGCCGGCGGCCGCAGTGGCGGCGATCGTATCACGGCACATGGCACGCCGGAGGGGGGGGGGGGGGCAGGAAGTCAACAGGATCCGGGCTCAACGGGCCGGCCGACAGCGGCGTCGGCCCACCCGACGCCGGCTATCGGAGCCGTAATCAGATAGCCGCCATTCGGGCAGCACGCGACCTCGCGGCCGATACGGGCGGCCGCCGGGATACAGCCGCCGGCGGCCGGGCGTGTCACTAACCCAGCAACACGGCGGCAGCGGTATCGGCGCCACAGCCGGCCACACCAAACGACGCGGTAACACCGGCCGACGACCAGATCGCGCGCTGTCACAGAGTAGTGGGGCAAACAGCCGCCACAGCCGCCACAACCTGAATGGGCGTGAATTCCGATAACAGCGAGCTGTTAATAAAAAAACTCGGGACAGAGAATGTTAAGCAGAAAGAGTACCATAAATGAAAAACAGAAAACAGTAGAACAGAACAGTTATAGTTCTAATGTTATCTATGATGATATGAATAAATAAAAGCAAGTTAAGCGCTATGGTAGCGAAAGGGTACTGGTGATTCTTATTTGCACACCATTTTACTATGGGCTTCTCTTCTCATGTCACGAAGATTCGTTACCAAAAAGGGCGCTAATTTAGTGTCGTTAGTCACAAGTGAAAATGAAAAGGGTAATAGCCAAGTGGCTTTGACTGATGCCCTGCAAGTTACTCCCAAAAACATAAATTAACATTTTGAGGTAGCGTGGCGGTACAAGCACACTCAAGCAAAGCAATATGGGCACAGCAGCTCTCATGTTCGTATCTCAAACGCGATCAAAAAGGCAGAAAATCAAATAGCCTCCCCCATTATTCTGGGAAACGCTATGATGGCCGTGCTATTTATGGACCAGGAGGCAGATAATCACTTCGCTCCCTTCAAAGGTCACGCAGATTTTAGCACATTCAGGGAATCCCGCTGCTTTGACACATCAAGCAGTAGCGGCGGTGGCGCTATTAATATCATTAATTAGCCCGGGACTGTCGGCTGTCGGCGGCTGTCGGCGGCGGCTGACGGCCCCGGTCACGAACACCCGGTCCGTGACGTCCGGCCTGACTGGGTCAGACCGCTGACGGGCCGGGGCCGGTGCCGAGCGGCCCCCTCAATGCCGCGGCACGGAGTCGGCCCGCAACGGGACAGGCTTTCCCACGCGGCCGATAAGACCGGCCGGTCACCGTCCGACGACCTTGGCCCCGGCCCGGGAAGGTCGCGACAACAGCGCGCCGCGCGCCGCGCACGGACGGCAGCCGTCACCCACCTGGTGGTCTGGTCGCCGGTGGCGTTGGTCGCAGGAGGTGGCGCCGCCGCCGCCGCCGCTGCCGACGCCGGCACGGACACCGGCGGCGGGGTGGGCGCTGCCGCCGCGGCTGTCGGCTTCTCTGAGGGCGCCGCAGCGGCCGCGGCCGCCGGCGCCGGGGGAGCACTCTCGTCTGGCACAGAGTCGGACACTATGCTGCTGACGGCAGCGCCGGGCGCGGCCGTCGCGCCGCCGGCCTTTTCGCGCTGCTGCAGCGCCGCCATCGAGCCGCGCGTGGTCACACCCTGCACATTGGCACCGATCACCTCCACGGGCGGCAGCGGCGCCGCCGGCTTGGGCAGGCCGCGGTTCCTGCCGCGCGTGCGCGCCTTCTTCAGCCGCTCCTTGTATTTCTCCTGCTTCTTGCTCATGTAGTAGTAGTTGACGCACTCGCTGGTGGTCTTTCCCTCGATGGCCGCACTGATCATGTGGAACAGCTTGGGGTGCTGCATGTAGCGCTCTCGGAACGCCTCGCGCTCGGCCTCTGTCCACACGTTGTAGTTGGGCACCTCCTTGTGCACGGCCATCGGGTCCTGGATGAGGCCGTCCGTGCTGTGGAACACGTACTTCCGCCGGCTCTCGTCCAGCAGCGGCGGCGGGATCACCGCCAGCGACTTCATCTTCTGCTTCTCGTTCTGTAACACGGACAAGGTGGTCAGCCGGGCCGACGGGGAACGATGCCACTGGACGGGACTGTACTGGGGGACTACGTGAGGCATACTTCGTTGGAGTTCAGATGATTTCGTGAAAATGGATCAATGGATCACGGGTATCGCCATTTCTAATGGCAAACGTAACAACTCGTAGTCCCTTAAAACTTCCGCAATGGTTGACGATAACAACAAACTATCAACATCCATCCGTCTGGTCTGAAGACGACTGCGGCGCGCGCAGCTCACCTCCTGCTCCTGAATGCCGTCCATCACCTCCTCCATCTCGGCGTCCGACTTGATCATCCGGCCGACGCGGTTGAAGCGCTCCCGCTCCTCCCGCGCCTTCTTGATCTCCGGAAACACCTTCTCGTAGAAGTCGCGGTTCTTGGCCGCCTTCTGACGATTTTTCTGTGAAACGCCGGGTAACGGGGAACGGTCAGAGCACGGAGCCTAACCGCAATGCCCAGCTAAGCTCACGATCACATCAGGGTACGAATATTTCTGACACGAAAACTGTACGGGAGTCCCTCGCGGGTCCCTTCCAGACGGATCAGTCTCATCATTCAATCGACACGCCCTCCCCTTCCTCCCCTCCCACGCCCTGGCTCACCGGCAGGCTTTCCAACCGCTCGATCTGCCGCATCCAGACGGTCATCTTCTCCGTGTAGGCGTCGACGACGGCGCGGGCGCGACTCTCCTGGCGCTGCCGCCGCCGGCGCACGTACGACACCAGCGACGGCTTGAGCGCCTTGAAGGCGGCCTGGTTGGCCTGGTAGATGTCCGTGTCGGACGGCTGGTTGTAGAGCGGCTGGCTGGAGGTGAACAGGCGCGCCGAGCCGCCGTCCGAGCTCTGCTCCTCCGACGGCGCCTGGGAACGGCAGCAGGATAGCGCGGTCAGCCGGCGGGCAGCGACACCGCGGACCGTGGGGTAACGGCAGTGACGCAGCGGTAAGAAGCTGGCGCAAACACATTATTCTTACGTGGAAGCAATGGGCTAGTTCTCATCAGCATTGTTTAGCATTATAAGGAAAAATTCATCCTACAATGGAGATAGAAGAACGCTTCAGTGACTGTTGTAACAATGAGTTGCTGATGATCTCCAGATTAACGGGGGCCGTAACGCTGGCCGGGAACCAGCCAATGACGAGATCTGGCAGCCATCTGGCAGCGGCGGCGGGTTGCATAACCCGTCCACCTGCAGCCGCGTCAACAGCCGCGACGGCGGCAGCCGAGCGAGCACTCACCGGCGGTCCAAGCTTCTCCAGGTCCGCCTTGGCAAGCCGCGCCTTCTTCTGTAACGGACCACAGAGCCAGTTAAAACAGAGCGGCGCGATTGCGGCCGGGCGGGGACACGGACACGGGCATGGCCGGCATCTGCTCAAAGATAGAAACTATTCATAGCAACACAAACACGGCCCAAGGGAAACACGATGGACCATGAGCCCGCTGGCCAACAAAAACAAGCCGGGCCGCGCTCCCAGAGGTCATGATAAAACACAGCCTCGGACGGGACAAACTGACCCGATGACCTTTGCTGAATGAGTTATAGCAATGGCATCATTCCAGCTGGACTTCTCCGTATTGACGCTAAAACTTAAGGCATTCACTACAATATGTTTCCGTCAGCTAACGCTCCAAGAGAAGCACAGCTGGTATGCAATATCACAATAGCGCAGCTGCGATGACGGCTGCAGGCCTTTGGAGCTCCACGCCAACACGGTGGCCGAGATTTTATTGCAACAGCATTCCAATACCACGTGAAACCCAAAGAATGTTCTCGTCAGCTCAAACGATGGCCCAGTTTACGTCGACTTTGAATGTTTATCATAAACGCCGCGCCAGGCACCGACGGGTTCGCTGGGGCGTTCCATGATATGACTAAGGTAATCAATGCAGCCTGGAGTCTGCAGAAGCCATCAACCCACGATCATTACTGCCGTGATCAGCAAAGTGATGAAACGCCCGGCGTCTACCGCCTGTACACCGCCACCGTGCTGACTGACCCGGTTCTCGGCGTAGATGATCTGCGCCAGACTGCGGTTCTTGTTCTCCTTCTCGTCCTCGTCCTCGGCGGGGCCGTCCGGTTTGCTCGCCTGGTCCTCCAGCTCGCTCTGCACACAGACACACAAACGGGCGGCGGTGAGCGCGAGCTTCGTACACGTGTGAAGGCAAGGAGGACGGATCGTGGGTGGATTAAAACAAAGCAAAAGCTGAGAACAGTCGGAACACACAGGCCCATTGCCAGCAGCATCGTAGGCGCGTTATACCACGCAATTAACTATTAATAGAAACTAATAAAAGATTACATAAGCCCGAGATCGTGGCTGAAAGTTGCTACTACCAGAAAGAGGAACTTAGCACAACTTTGAAAACAAACCTAGGTATACCGTGTAACTTCAGGGTCGTTATACTACCAGTAGGTACGCAAATTTACGAAAATATAGCTCCACAAGCTTACAAACTTCTTACTAGCATGCAGAAACATCCAACACAAATACCCAATGGCTCGTAGCCCCCCCCCCCCCTCAAACAAACACACACTTCTTGTACTCCTCGCACTTGCTCTCCGTGCGGGCTCATCCACCTTACTGACCGGACGGGCAGACCGTTTCGGCTCTCACCTGTTTCCGTTTGAGTTTGGCGATCTGCGACTCTGCCTTCATGATCTCCCTGTCGATAGTGCTGATCTGACCGAGTAGCTCGTCCTTGGTGGAGCGGAGCGGCGACTCGTCCAGCCCATCGGCCGGCAGCGTCGGCGAGATAGCCTCCGTCTGCGGGTTGTACGACTCCTGTGGACGGGACGGGACGGGAGGCCAGGTCAGAGGGGCCGCCGGTCACCGGTCACACGTGTAGCCGCCCAGCGACCGTGTCTGCTGAGCTGGCCGGACGAGTTGCTACAGCCGCATTTGGAGATTCGTTGCCAGGGGGATATGTGCCACTAGAGGTATGTGATGCCCTAAACCTGAGAGGCGCGAGTCGCCGCGTCTGCCCGAGGAGCTGACGGGAGCGGCGCGGAGCGGTCAGCATCGGCCGGCGCTGATGACCGAGCACCGGATGGTGAATCAGCCGCCGTCAGCAGCCGGCCGTCAGCACCGTCGGTGTCGTCTCGGCGGGCGCTGAGCTCATCCGTTGGTAACCGGCAGGACGGACCAAGGAGGACACGTCCCCGGACAGCCCTGTGTCAGCCACATATGTACACACCTGGCAACACGTATTGCGTTGTTGCTATAATTGTACAAGACTACCCGGAAAATATTTTAGTCATATGTTGTGTGAGCTACAGCATGAGGTTAGAACTTCCTGGGCCCGGTTCCGTTTCTAAAGTCGCATTTCTGGTCAGATCAACAATGCTCAAAGTAGCGTTAACGTTTAGGTAGACTGTTTATTCTGCCGTTCAAACTCGCCAATTTGTGAGTAAACCGATGCACATCGGTAGATCAATGAATCGGTGAGAGTACAGTCATCGACGCGTGCAGTATGGGCAGCCCCGTTCCATTTCCTCTGAGTTCACCCGCGGCGCTCCCAATATAGCATGTGCCAGTCACGCGTGCTGCCGCGCTGCTCGGCTAGCCCGCGGCGCTGTGGTGTAATGGAGGGCGGTACACCCGCCGCCAGTCGGCCGGCCGGCGATGGACGCGCCGCGTCGACCACAAACCCGTCCCGGGCGACCGGCGGCGCCCCGCCCCTGCTTTGTCAGTGGGCCAGCGCGCTACCCACGCCGAGACCACGCTGACATTGGCAGAATAAACAGCTTTTTGTCGGGGCGGTTTTTAGCGCCAGTGCCACGGGAGAGCCGGTTGTGGTTTTTGCGCGTTTTTGCCGGTCCAGCTGTCTGACGGCCGTCTGGTGCCGGTGTTTGTGAGTGGCCCGCCCCCAGGTGCTAACGGCCCCACGTGCCGGCCGAACGGACGGACGCGCTCAGCAACAATACGGCAGACGGAGGTAACGGCCCCGGGCGGGGCACCCCCTCCACAGCGGAGCGGCCGAGACTCGGTCCGGTGACACCGCGTCAGCGCCCGGTCGCCAAGGCCGGCTTGGGACGGCGACACTGCGGAGCCGAGCTGCTGGTGTCGGCGGACATCCGAGCCGGCCGATCTCGTGTCAGCCGTCGCCGGGCGGGTGTGGCCTCTGGGTCGGCGTCAGCGGCGCGCCGGCGCCACCCCTGACCCGGCGCGTGCTGACCCAGCCGGCGCCCTGCCCCACGGCCGGTTCACCGAACCGCCTCTGCAGCCGCGCCGGGTGACTCAGCTGCAAACACCGGCCTGAGAACCGGCCCGGTCAGCAGCCGCGGGGGCCGCCTCCGATTACCAGTCGTCAGCACACAGAGAGGGAGAGGGAGAGCGGCTCGGCCGCGGAGGACATTCCAGCGGCCACTCTGCCCGGGAGGCGGCGCGCCGTACACCGGTCAGACGGGCGGCGTCCGGCGCCGGGCGCGGCGGCAGGATGGATTGCCGACTGCCGAGTGGGGCGGCCGCGGCGAGGAAAACAGTGCCACGTCACCATCGCTGCAGCCGCCTCCGACCGCAGGCGAACGCAGATCCAACACTCCGCGGCGCACAACCCGCCGTTGCGTCACATTCGCCGAAGATGGCCGGTGTGAGCGGACAAGCAGGCCTGGTGACCGAGGGGGAGGGGTGTTGCGTCGTCCGTAGCAGCGGCGGCGGAGGAAGGGGGGGGGGGGCGACCGAGCCACTTTGCAGTCAGGCAGCGCAGCGGACATTGTCCGAGCTGATCGCCGCTATTGGCCGACTGTTGTGACCCCGGCAGCCGGCAACTGCGCCCCGCCCGTCACAGCCCGCGGCCCGGGGCGCCGGGCGGTAGCGCTGAGCCCCCTCTGCAGCGCCGCGCCGGCCGGGGCTCTCACACTGATTGACAACAGAGCCACCGTCAAAGCGGCGGTTCCAGCTCAGACCCGGGGCCGGCTCTGGGCCCCCGGCCGGCACTCGTCTGATGGCTTCCGGTGCACCGGTACCCACCGGACACCGTCCCCATCCGGAGTGTAATACCGCGGCACGGCGGCACCTGCGCGTCACGCCTCTGACACGCCGCATGACGCACCGGGGGCCTCTGCTCACTGACCTCAGTGACCACTCCGCCCCCGTCCTGTCCCGCATACGCTGCTGCATTATGGTAATCCCAGCAGTGACGCGACGACCCTTGCAGTGAGCGGACGAGATGTCCCGTAATAGTCGGTGCGTGTTTGCGGTTACCCCTGCCCTTCACTCCCTCCCTGGAACACATTGATCTGTGGATTTTCAGGCATACCACGATAGCCGCAAAGCTCTGCGGAATCGCCCGCGCACACCAGATCGGCCGACTCAGTGTCATTACCGGCAGGCGAGCGCCGCCGAGCCGATACCATCAGTACGGATCGCAGCGCTCAGTCGCTTTGTTCCTGGATTGTGCGTCACAGTAATCCATTGCGCAGAGCCATGAATCATTCCCCACCTGCCAGCGACAGGACAGCATCAATACGCGATCCGGCCGGCTATCGACCCCACCCCGCCCACGCCGCCGCACCGGCCGAGTCGGCGCACAACCAGCCCGCCGCGGCGCGTCCCGCCGGGGAGCGGGACGGGCTGGTGCGGTACCGCGGCTGGGCCGGCCGCCCCTCAGCCATGACAGACGCCTCTCCAGGGATGACGGGCACGGCCACACCCGCGGCCCGAGACCGTGACGCGGCGCGCGGCGCGTGACGCCCGGAGAAACCGGTCGTGGCCGGCCGAGCGTGACCGGCATGACGTGGCACGCCGGCCGAGCCACTCCAGCATCCCTCCCCGGCTGCGCCCGCCCGCCGCCTGTCGTCTGTCTCCCTGTGAGGGGTGTGTGTGTCTGTGTGTGTGTGTGAGTGGGAGGGGTGCTCGGGACACTGACCCGCTGGGCGGTGACCATGCTGTGCGGCGCGCCGGCCTCGCCGCTGGTGACGATGTGCAGCGGCAGCCGGACGTCTGAGGCGGACGACACCGTCAGACCGCCGCCGCCACCGCCGCGCACCTCGGGCGGAGGCGGCGGCTGCGGCGGCGGCTTCGTCTCCCGGTCGCGGTCGAGCAGGCGCAGCTTGGCAGCCGCCGCCGGGTGGTGGTGAGGGTGGTGGGCGGCCGCGGCCGCAGCAGCAGCTGCCGCCGCTGAGGAGGGCGCGCCCGGCAGGCCGGCCAGGTGCGGCACAACGTCCCGCTCCCCGTAGCCCCTGTGGAGACAGGAGGAGCACGTCAGCGGCTGAGGCGGCGAACACAGACCTAGGCATGAACATGAATGATCATAGCCAGCAGCTAAACCTCACGCTGGTCGAATAGATTACATCCAACAAGAATGTAAGCGAAACTAGCACAGCAAACGTGTAACGCAACGGACAACATTATCGAACCGTGGAAAACTACGTCCACAGAACTGGGTTTAACTCTACTGACGAATAGCTAGGCAGCATGAAACACAAAATCGATGATGACGTTGCTCATTGTCCATTCAATTCAGCCCGGCTTCAGTCACGGCCGTGTGTGCTGCCCTATCGGGCTTTGTCAGCCATACGTGCCTGAAGGCGGGGTGTCGGAGCGGCGGCGGCGGCCGGTCGTCGGCCGGCCCGGCCCGCAGCGCCGCCGGCTGGCTGCTCAGGTTGGCGGCGGACAGGTGCGCCGGCTTCGGGTACTCGAGGCCGTGGCCGTGCGCGGCCGGCGGCGGCAGCAGCGTGGGCCGCCGGTGGGGCGCGCCCGCCGACGGCCGCCGCGCCGCCGCCGCCGCCGCAGCCGCCTCCTCCTCCTCGCGGCGCCGCTGCGCCTGCGCCTGAGCCTGTGCCTGCTGGTGCAGCTGCTGCGCCTGCTGCTGCTGAGCCGCCGCCGCCGCCGCCTGCAGCTGCTGCTGCTGTGCCTGGAGCTGCTGCTGCTGTTGCTTTTGCTGTTGTTGCTGCTGCTGCTGTTGCTGTGGACGAAAAATAACGGGCATTAAACTTCGATCACTGGCTAATGGTCAAGGTACACGAGCACGGCTCCTCTATCGTTGTTTTACATGCGTTGCAGCGCCACGGAGCGTGCGTGACGCGTCTTAGACACCACCAACGTGGTCCCGGTCACAACAGCACCCACGCCAGCGGCCGGCAGACAGAGGGCCATCAGGGAGCGCGCGTGAGCTCCATACGGTACATTGGACCCGAGGGCCGCGCGCCATTGAGCGCTGCCCACAGGCCGGCCGGCCGGCGGCGTACCAATCAGTCTCGGCAGGCGGTCGGCGGGCGGCACGTCTCAGCGGCAATCAGACCGGGCGCGGCGGCCCGCCCAATCACCGACCAACTTCGGCAGACGGTAACGGCCGCATGGACCAACTTTGCCACGGCGCGGCGGCCGACCACGTCCCACCCGTGCCGGGCCACGTGTGCCGCGCGGCGCGGCTAGAGTAACGCCAGACGTGGCGGCCGGCGGCGCCGCCGGCACGACCAGCCGCGCTCCAAAGTACACAACACGGCACGTACTCTCCGATAAACAGCAGCGCCCCTCCCCTCCCCGGCCGGACCGGTCGACCCCCGGCGGCGCACCTATACCCGAACGGCAACGGCATCGGCCACTCGACGGAGGCAGCACTATGTCTTGAACAAGCACATCACCCCAGACGCCTAGATAATACGGCACACGATGTGCACCGAAAATGTACTGGCCAAATGGATGGAACGTTCAGAAACGTTAGCGCTCTACAGCTTTTCAGTTTGCTTGCACTAATCGAAAAAAATCAAGAAGTGCTATAATGAAAAAGTCGATAGCAAAAAAAAAAACTTCCCACAGTAGACGTTGACATCAATAAGACGCTAACGTTATCCATGAGAAACACGCCTGAGTTAGCCCCAAAGTCCCAGTCCCTGGTCAGAGCCGATACGCAGGCTGGGGCTGATTTTTGGGCCCAGATGTCGGAGTACCAAATCGCAAACCCGCGCCAGTCTTCGTGAACTTCTAAATATCCACTACAAATATATCCAACAATTTGTGCTTTTCATCGAAGAACCATTGCGTAAGTTACCTACATATAAATAGCCTTGTTGGTGTCTGCAATAATAGATCCCTGCTTAGTTGGGATATTTTTCCAAACTGTATGACATCCCAAACCCGTCGCTCACCATCTTCCGAAAACCAATGAATAAATTGCGGTGGGCGGCGACCCGACCGTGTTTGGCCGGCGCCCGGCTGCCATCGCGACACAGCGGCGGTGCGCCGCTCTCCGTATAATGGCCAGTTGGGCTGCTCACCCCTCCTGAGGAGGGCCGGGCGCGGGGCGTGTCACCTGTTATCGAGCGTCGCCGTCGACCGACCTGTCCAGGCGACGGCCAGCGCGACCTGACGCCGCCACGCACGCCGCGGCCCGGCATCGGAAATCAATCGCGCTGCCCCGGCGCCACCCCGCACCCCGGCCCACAACCCCACCGGCCGGCCGGCCGACCCCGGGTCACCACGCCGCCCCGGCTCCGCGCGGCGAGCGCTGACATCACGAGTCACGTGACGTGACGCGTGGCGGCGTCGACGTGGCGGTGGCGCCACAGTGGTACGATCTCACGGCCCGACCGGCCGCGCTGGGTCACAGCGGACAGCCGCTGCCGCTGTTTGAGTGCAGAGTCCACGGCCGCGGTAAATAAAGCAGCCGCTCGCCAGTGGGCCATGCCGAACTGTCGAGTACCGACTGACCCCTACTCACCTCACCCCTCCCCGGTGCCGACCCTTGGCCTTGCAGTTTGCACCGCTATCTAGCCGCGGCGCCGGCGGTCGCTCTCCGGCCGCCGCTCCGCTTTGAGGCAAACCCAAACACCGCTCCGCGCCGCGCTGGCCGTCCTATAAACATCGCCCCAGTCCTGGCCCGCCGGTGAGTCGGCCGAGCCCCCCCCCCCCTCCGCGCGCGGTTCCACACTGTGTCCGTATCCCGGGGCGTGTTGTCAGTTCCGGGAACAGCTCGGCTCGGCGGCGGCACTCACCAGGTGTTTGTACCGCTGGCGCTCGTATATTTCGGCGGCAGCGGCGGCATGCGGGTCGTGCAGGTGCATTCGGGGCACGGCCAGCCGGTCGACCCGGTCACGCTCGCCGTCCAGCCTCGCCAGCTGCATCTGCGGACCGAGCAGGGGCGCCGAGACGGTCAGACAAACCTAGCAGTCACGGCACGGAGACAGGGCGTGGTTACAAGGGGACACGGCACGGGAGCGGAGCGGGCAGGGTGACACTGGGACAGAGAGGGCAGGGTAAACCGGCGTCTCATGGGACCCAGAGAAGAGCTCGGCAGACAGTTGCTCTGCTCACTGCTCAGTGGGTGGACGGTATGCAGATGCAGAATGCATAAGGTGACGGGTGAGAGTAGCAGGATAAATGACTCAGCGAAGGTGAGAAAAGAAGGATCGATGACTGAACGAAAGACATGGGGATTATCAGAGCCTCAAGAGCTCGCCAAGGACAAACAAGCAGTTCCAGGTGGCATCGTAAGCAAATGTCCTCCAGCTGCCTAGTGCCTACACGTATAGTTGCCACTTTTTCACCTTGGAACAAAAGAAAAAGATCCTTTTCCAATCGTATTATTCGAAGCTACAGCGAATACAACAGAGCGCAGGCAGAGAGCACGCGGAGATTCGGCGCCGTCGCCGAGCCCCGCCGGCGGCATTATTCAGCCGCTCTCGGTGACACCGATCGCGGCTTGTTCGAACCCAGCTCAAACACTCTCAGCATGCATAATCGGGCTGCATAAAGCACGTCGGACACCGTCTGACGTCACCCAGATACCGAGCTCGCTGTCGCCACCCGGGCCGCGAGCGCGCGCGCGCGCGCACTCCCGCGCCACGTGACCGGCGCTCGGGCGGCACCATGAGGTTGCGCGAACTCGCCATGCGGACTCGTTCCGGAACGCTCCCGGGCGGCGATATGACGCGTGAGGCGCCGGCGTTCCGGTCGGCCGGCGGTCGCTGAGCTGCGGCCCGTTTTCACCGCCGCCACCGGCGAGCAGGTGACAGGCAGGTAATGACACACCGCAGGTTCTCACGGACTCTCACGATTTGTCCCGCAATCAGAACAGCGTGAGTCAGCGGGTGGGGAGGGGACGGAAGGCGGCCGGATGGCGGGGAATGGCGCTCTTCCCCTCCCCTGTCGCACCCCCACACACTTCCAGCTATCGTCATCATCGGCTTACGAGTCGATTCGAGCCTTGAACTCTGGCCCCGCTCAGCTCTTTTACGATCATGGAACGCAGATGCTCCGGGAATATATTATTTTACGGCTTCACACAGCTGTTGCCGGCCGGTTTAGCGCCGTCCCAAAGCGGGCCCGATCTCGGTCAACGCTCGGCTAGTGGCGGTGCCCTTGGATGAGTGGCGGTGCCGGCGGCCAGCGTGGGACGCGGTCCCGAGGCCGCCGCAGCCCGGGCCGACCGGACCGCCCGGCGAGAGGTAGGGACCGGCTGCTGCGTGGTGCCCACACGCGCCCGGCGGCGGGCTGGCGGCCGGCCACGGCACCCCGCACCACGTCAGACGGCCATCAGTGATGACGGCGGCGACCCGGCGGGCTGGGTCTCCGCCAGACAGTGGCGTAATGTGGCCGCCGCCGCCCTAACGGCCGGCACCCCACCCCTCTGCCGCTGCCGCCCAGCAGCCCTCCACTCCGCCACTGCCGGACACGTATATGGACCGCTCCGTCGGAGACGGGCCAACAAAAACTTCCCCGCTTAGGACGGCCATATTTTTAGGCGCGAGCAGTGAACCTTTATCAGCGCGACACATCAGCCACTCGTGTCCCGGCTGAACAATGGCTCGTCGCTGGCCTTGAGGCCTTGCATGCCAAAATACGAGCCGTGGTCCGGCATACCGGAGCGCTGCTGATACGGTCGGCAGTCAGCCGGCGCTCGATCAGTCCGAAAACCGGCCGCTGACTCAGGAAAATAAACACGCACAAAGCTCAAGGCCATTCTATTGCTGATCAACTACAGATATCGTGATCCATGAAGCATGGTTTAACTTGCCGGGTCCAACAATTGCCTTAAGACTTCCGTATCATGGAGCCAAAATTCACCAGAGTCGGTGCACGCTCACCGATGTAAAAACGATTAAAGTAGCAAAACCTTCCACATACACTAATGGTAAAAACGCTCCATGCGAAAAAGCAAAGCGACGCACAATTCGTCTAATGCGCAAAGTCAAGAGGAGATATTATCCCTTTCCACAATGTGTCAAGTGCCCAATCCTTGCGTTTAACATAACATATGATCGCACTAACGATGCGATAGCTTCCTCAGCATGATATTTTGGCAGATCCAACAGGTTGGTAATCCATCGCGTAGAGAACTGCTCCCCACCCCTAAAAAGTATGATGACCGACGGCGCCGTCCAAGTCTGTCTCCGGAGGGGACCTAGGCCGTCCGGTCGGTCGGTCGGTCGGTCGGTCGGACGGACGGACGAACGGCGGCCCGTGCCCCGCTCGGGGCGGTCGGAGCCGAGCCGCGCGATCGATAAAAACAGCCGCCGGCCGGCCGGGCCGCCCCCGCCCCCGCCCCGGCCGGGGCACGGAAATAGCCGCCCGGCGGCAGCGAGTGCCAGCGGGCACGGTGCCAGCCGGGTGTCGGCCAGCCGACCCCACTCGGCCCCTATTCCGGTCTCTCCGTCAGCACCCGGCCTGTCCCAGACGCGAGCTGCCGACGGCCGCCTGCCAGCTCCAACCCACTCACACACAGCCCGTATCGTCATAGAAACCACGCAGCAGAGCCGATACAGGATACAAAAACAACATGGAGAAAAAATGCCGAAATTTACCTCTTTCTTGAAAGCCATTATATTAAAATGAAAGCTACCCTGTGGAAGGAAAAAAATATGAGTACATCACTTAAAATAATTGAGATGTTTTCTCCGCAAAACGGGGCAAATAACTGGTTGGAGGATATATTTGTCAGACATCTATTTTCCTGGTTACTGTATTCACTCTGCTTTCGAAGGCAAAAATGATAAACATCAAAGTAAAGAACGGAAAATTACTCCCTCGAGGTTGTCGCCCATCTAAGACGGTGGATGAAAATAGGAACACAAAGACAGAATTTACTATGGATTTTCAGCCACCTTTCGCCCACGACGAAAGCTCCCGCGTTGGAAAATACCAGACGGCCCCATCGAATCTGAATGTGTCTGCGCACCAGCCGCCGCACAGCCGGCGAACGGTTTCCTCCCATGTCGATATCTGATCACGGTCGCCGCCCACACACCCTGCATTCATGGCCGGCGCTGCAGTCGGCCGACTTTCCAGCGCCATATGCTCCATCATCTCCGTTCCAAGTAACCACGCTCCGCCGGCCGTTGGCAGCGCTTTATGTCCGCGACTGGCACGCCCCTCGGTCGTGAATAACAAAGTCTTTGCCAGTCATTCTTGCACAGACAGCGCCTGATGCAAAACAACCCACTCATCCCTCTCGGCCATCCGTTCCACACTGGCGGCGCTGGCCGGCCGGCCGGACGGGCTGTTTTGGTTAGTGGACGGGCGGACGAGCGTGCAGCGGGGCGCGGCAGCGGGGCAGGTCACAGTCACGCCGCGCCACGCCCGGTCAGGAGCCCAGCCGGACCGAGCCGGTGACCTTGCCTCGACCCAAGGCTGCGGTACCAAATGATACCGCCAGAGCGGTGCGAAGCCAGAGGACGGATGGATGGGCCGCCGCACACAGGGCCGACCGCCAGGTCTAGCACGACATGGGCAAAAAATCGAACTTTGTGGATGTACAATGAAACCTATACCAATTTGTTCAAAAATGATCATACTACACTGCTGTGGTCTTTGTTTTACAACACAATTGCTATTTCATGGCGAAAACTCAGCTTAAACACGAACTTCGGAATCGTTTGGACCGAACTCGTCCCCCGCACTCTTCGACAACGTATCTTTGATCCACGAAAACAATCACAATTTGAGGAGGAATTCCACATTTATATACATCAAACGATAGCTCCGGGTCTGCAGAACACACATAACCACATCAAAATGGCGAACTCTTACTTGGTTATGATGTATTGGCACCGCAAAGATTTAAAGACGAAAATATAATTTCACATAATTGATGTCACACACAAATAGACTTTCAAAAAAAGTACCGCAGAGTACCGCTTCGAAAATCTCGCTACATGTCAATGATTCATTGCACTACAAGATCCAACAGTCATTTTTTGCGACTTTTTGCGACTTTGGATGTAGCAGCCAAACATCAACCCGCGCCGGACCGGTGCTCGGCGTCAAACGCGCCGGGCCGGGAGGTGTTGATTGAACACTCCCCTTCTAACTCGTCTCTTGGGCCACATAGCAACACGTAGTAAGTGGCATTCGAAAGAGCGCCCGAAATTCCAGATGGAGTAATTAGTCATTTCTAGGTCAGGTCAAAGGTCACGTCACCAGAGGTCATCAAAGGTAAAATGTTGCATTTATCGACAATTATCGAAAACCGGCTCTTACCTCGGGGACCAATAGAGCTACATCGTCGCGGAAAAGTGCATTCAATTGCTCTTTTAGCGGTCTTTCTGAAATAAGCCCTCAGATTTGGCTTAACCCTCGCTCCTAGTGGTGTTTTTCCAGCCGCGAACGTATAGAAGGGGTCCGTTGGACCCCCCGCCGTTTCGCTCCTGATCAAGCTAGAGCTTCGCGGAAAAGACGAGCGTGTTGCCCGTGACAAGAGGAAGCTGATGATACCCAATTGTAAGGTCCTAGGTCATCGGTTGACCTTCCAGGTCAGGTCAATGACCCAAAAGTCGGGAAAATCGGGACCTGTTAGAACGTCGTAAAGGGTGGCTGCTATGAGTTTTTTTGGGTGCTGATCACGAATATAATATTATTTACGATCATAGATGATGTCTTCATACATTTAGGCCAGGTCGGGTCAGGTCAGGTCAGGTCAACTAGTAAGAGTTTTACCGGGTATTTGCAGTAGGTGGCAACCACCTCTGACAGCTTTGTAACATGTTACGAAGGCACCAAAGCTGCATAGTAAATGTTCAAATGGTTGCTAGATTCGAATTCAGCTAAAAAAACTAGCCTAGAAACATGTAAAACTCGAAAAAGTGAACCAAGGTCATCAAAGGTCAATGACCTTACCTGACCTTCTGGTGATCTTAACACCCACCCTAATGCATGGGAGCAACATAATATCCCATGTTTGAAAGCTTTAAACCAAGAAAAGACTGCAAAACCGCGGCTAATGCGAGCCGACATACGCTGAATCGCGATTCCGGCCAAACATGGTCTCGAAAGAAGGTCACAGGTCAAAGATCATTAAGGTCAGGGAATTGAAATTTTCAGGTTAGCTGTAAAAGTAGTTATCGCGAGGGTACTGAAAGTTTCGTTGCGATCGGCCGTTTTTTACGCGAATTACTCGCGAAAAACCAAGCGTTCCGTTCGAAGATTCAGGCCCTGTCGCGCTAGAATGGCATATCGGCCCACTGTGCGCCGGCCGAGCGCACTCTGCTCCCACGCGGAGCCGCGAGCGGGGCAGCGCGGCGGGGACAGGCCGTCGCTGGCGGCGCCGACCCGGCGGGCAGAGTGGCTGCACGAGCGGCCACCTGTCGCGGCCGGCGCCATTGTCACCGGCCGTCGTGCGGCGCACACAGTGGTGGTCCCGCTTTGTACCGACCGCCGCGGGAAGGTCCCGCAACTGGACAGCGCCGCGCTCCGCCGGCTCACACACACACACACGGGCCGACCCCGGTGGTACCGTGACCGTCCGACGCAGGGACGGCGGCGGCGTGCTGCGTCCACGGCTCCCTTCCATGACCGGCGGCGGCGGCTGGCCGGCGGCGGCGTTTCGAAACCGCCCGTGAGCCGGGTGCCCGCGGACGTCCCGCTCCCAGGCCGGCGGAGAACGGAAACGCGTCGGTCGGAACGGTGCCGCGGCGGCTCCCAGCGTGCGGGAAGCGCGGCTCGCCGCCGACCGTAACGGGCGCCCGCGATGGGGCACCGACACGTCACGTCACGGTAACGCTGACGGCCGGCCGTGACTCGGCTGCACAGTCGCGGCGGCAGACGGACAGAATCATTATTTGGGTCGATGCTGCTCAGATATATGATATTCTGCACAACTGTGACCTCTGGAGGAAGACGGCACTTGTATATTACTGTGTGCCGAGTCAACAGTCGAGTAACGAACACGGGAAATGCAATTTGCTCCCGCGATTGGCTCAGATAATTTCGTTTCCCGGCTAATTGGCAGCACTGATATGCTGATTCGTTTCCATTCGGAGAATCCGAATAGTTACATATTGAGCCAAATTGCCCCGAGCGAATTTCTCTCTTCACCGACCGTTAGTAGTGATATTTTCCGTCCTATTCTTTTTTTTTGTCCGTCCTATTCCGATTCGTGGCGTTCGAAAACGAACCCCAATAGCAAAAGCTGCCAGTGCAGCCATGCCCTGTCTGGAGCGGAGTCGATCCAGAGGTCCATGGGACCGCCCTGTAAGATGACGGACATGCCGGATCCAGCGCCAGGGAACGCAGACTCGTCAGTTGTCGGAACGACTCAACAAAGCCGCTCAGTGCGGGCCAGCGGTGACGTCACTCCCGACAAACACAAAGACGACACTCCCGACATGGCTTTCGGCAGTCGGCAAAATTTGAGAAGCATACCTGCTTTCACCGTTTCTTTTCGCGACACCAAACTAGTGCCATGCAAGCAGGTGGGCAACCTGGGCGTTATCTTCGACGGCACCCTGTCCTGGGACGCGCATGTGTCCGAGCTCAGTCGCCGGTGCACGGGTCTCCTAATTGGCCTCTCCCATGTCCGCCACTATCTCCCCGACGGTGTCACCAAGACACTAGTGGTGGCTCTCGTCATGTCACGGATCCAGTACTGTCTCTCCGTATTCGGTAATGGTAGCCAAAAGAACTTCGATCGCATTCAGAAAATTCTTAACTTTGCCGCTAGAGTCATTTTCGGTCGCCGTAAATTTGATCATGTCTCCCATCTCCGGGACCAACTCGGCTGGATGGCACCTAAAACAATGGCTGAATACCATACCCTTATCACGGCGCACAAGGCCATTCAGAGAGGTGAACCCGAGGAGATTGCGACCCTATTTTCCAAAAATTCCCATACACGAGCAAGGTCTACTCGCCAAGACCACCTCTACCACTTACCGCGACCCCGACTAGAGACCGGAAAACGTAGATTCGCCTACCGTGCCGCGGCGCTCCTAAATACTCTCCCCCTCGAGCTAACGCAGTTGCCTCCAGCCAGATTTGCCCGTGCTGTTAAAAAGGAGCTTAAGCCTAGCCAGAGTAGCCATAGTAGCTAGCCTCATGACTCTTGGACTATGGAAGGCAAACGAGTATGTATGTGTGTATAGTTATGAACGCGGCTTCGTGCGGGTTACACCAAGTATGTGCGTGTTCGGCGTTCGCGTTGTGCATTTTCGTATCCGTAAGTGTGTGCGTTTTCTTGTATAGGTATTTCTTGTGTTATCTTCAACCAGCTCGGACTCGGAGTGTAATCGCCACGCCGATTGTGGATTGCTCTTGATCGTCAATACAATACAATACAATACAATACAAGAGCCGGCCATAAACACGGGCACCAAACAGGGGATCTGCATGAATACAGCGGACGGCGGTTTGTGGACGGGTCAAACGGTCGCCTCCGATCCCGAAGGTCAATGGCGGAGTTCTGCGGGCGCCGCTCGGCGGCAGGCCGGCCCTGGCCAGTGACCGCCGCTCTGATACAGACAAACGGCCCATACGGGCCGGCGGACGGGCTGACGTCACCCGACACGGCTGCAGCGGCACACGAGTTATATCAGCCGCGCCACCGGCCCGCCCAGCGGAAGCGTCCCCGCAGATTGGGGCTGCATTACACGGGCGACATTTAATAACATGCCGCGATAACAATGGAGTGATGCGTCAGCACCGATGGCCGCGCCACATAGTAACTGAGTACCGGCGCCGTATTTATACACGGGCAACAAATATACCAAACCGCACGAAAGACATCCCGGTCCCGACCGCTGTTCAGTAGCATTATAACACATTCGCAACCACACAGATTGTATCGGCCTGCAAAACTTGCTAAAAACAAAGAACTGCTGATCTGCCAATTCGCCCACTCACCGGTGTGTTGCGTACCGAGTAGGGTGACGGCGCTGCTGCGGCGGCGGCCGCGGCCGCCACGGCCTGCTGCCAGCGCACGTCGTGGTGCGAGGGCGCCGGCCCGGGCGCGGTCACCACCACGCCGGCTGGGTGGTAGACGCCGCTGGCGCCGCTCGAGTAGGGCAGCCGGCCCTGCGACATGGGCGGCGAGATGGCCGCGCTGGCCGCCGGCTGGTACGGAGACGCCTCGTGACCGGCCGGCCTGCCGCGCACACACACACACCACGTCAGATACACAGACACCCGTCAGAAGGACAGACACGGATCGGGGACGGTCAGATACAGAAACACGGATTGGGGACGGTCAGATACAGAAACACGGATCAGGGACGGTCAGATACAGAAACACGGATCGGGGACGGTCGGACGCAGAGACGGATCGGGACCGGTCCGATATACGGACACGGACAGCGAGGTGGTCAGACATACAGGCACGGAGAGTGACAGTCGGTGAGATACGCAAACACGGTCAGATGTGGCGTGCAGACAAAGCCCTCAGACGGTCAGCTACAAATATACGAACGTGACGGCTGCCAGCAGGGCACTGAGTCGCTGCCAGAGTCTGTCAGACCACCGGCACGGACGCGCTAACAGACAGGACAGAATCATCAGAGTGACCAGCAGACAGCGGCGTATTTAGAAAATCGCGAAGGGGGGGGCCAAGGGTTTGGAGGGCGCCACCTCACCCAAGGAGGGCGCCATACGGTCGCGAGATAAAAAATCGCTCAGTGGGGGTTGGGGGGTTGGGAGGCGTTTTTTACCATGCCACCAGTTTTTTTTTTGCGTAACCTCGTATAGGTCGTGCTGCATTGATTTTGCATCGTGTGTATTCATTATACTCCAGGTCACAAAAGGTCAAGTGTTCTTGAAATGCTGCGCCGAAGGCGCGCGAAATTTTTGAAAACAACCTTTTCCTCCGCTTTTTAGGCACGCCTTTTATACGATCACTGTTCAAAGCTCCTCTCGCTCTTTTACCAAATTTGAAGGTGTAAAAAATACCTAAGGTTTGGTCGGGCCGCTGCCACACAAACTGTACAGAAAGCTTGGCTCATGGGTGTCGATGTATAAAAGTTTATTGGCGGTGGCATATCTACGCACCAGATCACCGTATCGGATTGATACCGGAGCGCGAGATGCGTAAACATCATCCAAATTACCTCAGACCAGCCTTCATAGCCTTCTCACAGATGCATGCAGTGTACCCACATAACCAGTTTCAATCACCGAAACTTCAGATGCCTGCTGTTGCGCCCGAACCTGTTGACAATACTTAATCGTAATCCATATAGATGCCATGATGCACGTAAAGTAGGATCAATCCGTTAAGACCAAAGACGTGTTTTATGCATCGTAGAGCGTAGATAGTTTTGGTAGGTATAGATACTTCATTCATTGTGCTGAATGCACGTTCATTTGTGGCAGTTTTCACAGGCCAGACATCAACTATGTGCAATAGAACGACTAAGTTGAAAAACATGCCAAAGGAGTAAATAAATGATAGGAGGGCAGCGATCAACGGATGTTGCCAATAGGTAGAAGGGCTGCGATCCACAGGAGGGCACTAATAGGTAGAAGAGCCCCGATCAACATCCCGAGTTTCGACAGTAGGGCACCGATAGGTAGGAAGTTGGCGAGCAGCAGGAGGGCGCCAATGGATAGAAGGGCAGCGATCAACAGGAGGGCACCAATAGGTAGGAGGGCGCCGATCAACAATCAACAGGAGGGCGCCACCAGGTAAGAGGGTGGCGAGGAACAGGAGAGCACCAATAGGAGGGTGGCGATCAACAAGAGGTCGCCAATAGGTGGGAGGGCGGTCATCAACTGGAAGTCGCCAATGAGCGGAAGGGTGACGATTAAAATGGGGGTGGCAATGGTGAGGAGGGCGCCTTTGCTCAAGAGGATGACACGAACAGGAGGGCGTCTGTGCGGAGGGCGCTGGTCAACAGGAAGGTGCCAGTGGATAGGAGGGCGGTGATCAACAGGTTGGTGCCAGTGGTTAGGAGGGCGGCGATCTACACGAGGGCGCCAATAGGAGAAGGGCCCCGATTAACATTCAACAGGAAGGACTAGGGAACCAATAGGTAGGAGGGCGGCACTGAACAAGAGGGTGCCAAAAGGGAGAAAGGCGGCCTTCAAAATTTCACATGAGGGCTCAATAGGTAGGAGAGCGCCAATAATTATGAGGACGCCGATCAGCAGAAGGGCGGCAATGTGTAGCAGGGTGGCGACCTACAGGAGGGCGCCTTCGGGTGAGAGGGCGCTTATTTACAGGACAGCGGCTTACATAGGCGACCACCGTTACGCTTAGAGAGCTACAGCCTACAAATGTGGTTGGAGGGCGCCCGAGGGAGCCCTCCAACCGTATTTGGAGGGCGTATTTGGAATGGGCGTCCTCCGAGGGCGCCCTCCATCCGTATTTTCCCTGTAAACACATTCGCAATTGGAGGGCGCCCTCCAGTCGCGATTGTTTTTCGATTCGATTATATCACAATTGCATTTGCGATTGGAGGGCGCCTTCGGCGCCCTCCAATCGCAAAGGGCGCCTTCGGCGCCCAAGGGGGGGGCCATGGCCCAGTGGCCCCCCCCCTGCCTACGCCCCTGCCAGCAGACAAGCAGCGGTGAGCGAAGCTTCCTGAAAACCCCGGGGTACTCAGACTACAGCGTCAAGTAATGTGAACAGTTTAATTAAATCAAAAACGTTCAGAGGAAAATCGTGATACTCTTAGTTCCAATTTTTGACTGCAAATGCAGATAAATTTCAAAAGAAGCCCAGCTCCCCATCAGCCCAGTACGAGTTCGTCAGCAGCACTGCCAGGCCTAAAAAATGATTGCCAGGCACCTAACTGATATAAGGCGCAGTTGATATTAATCCGAAACGCCGAATTTCATCGAGTTCAATATTCTAAGCAAGCACACCCGAGGTTTTGAAATTGAGTCAACAACGTTAACGTTGGAGGTGCATCCCAAACGCCAGTGTCTACCAGTCGGAACTGCCACTGAGAAGGGCCTATGCCACCTAATCAATCACCCAGTAGGTGCATTGCACCAGAGCAGGACGGCAATAAACATGTGCGCAGCGATTGATAGCACACTACACTACAAGTTATTGTCTCTCCATACCGGGAGTGGCTGAGCAATGAGCCAGAAAACTAGGGTCGGGTGTCGTACTGACTTAAAAGTCACCGTCCAGCACAAGAAGAAGATCTATTCTGCTCTCCTCTACACCTTCCAGCCAACTAAACTCACAATCCCCCTCCTGGCACATCCACAGCTCGCAGACACACATCTCACATCATCACCAACCAATCGCGCTGTCATACGTCATATATCTCACATCATAACCAGCCAATCATGCTCCCATACGTCATGCCCGGCCCAGCTACTTGCAGGGTGTAACTCGGCCCTGCCGGCATCAGATGCCGGCGGCTATGACCAACGCTGGGTCACCGGTTCACAGCTCGACGCTGAAGCTGACTCACACTTATACGGCTCACATTCATCCTTGCGTCACGCTACATCACCCCCTGGTTCTGAAGAACCACATTACTCTACATGTTACATGTCATTCAATCAACGCATCAACTACATCCTCTGGCACACCATCGCCATATCTTTCCGGCTCTCTTCGAACACGCGTACCACGCCGCAGCGTCGCAGGCACGAACGTTTCACTCTCGTCTGCGGACACATCGGACCCGGTCGGTGGATCGGGGTCCGGGGACTGAGCGACGCTGGGCGGCCGCGTGTCCGACTCCGTCACATCACTCGGAGCTGGCGACACACACACGCCATCACACTCGCTGTCATCAGACCACTCCACCGTTGGCGCTCGCAGAGCCCCTGGCCTCGGACATTCAGGGACGGTCAACCGATGTCGGAGGTTTCGCACATGTCGTGGGACATTATCGACTTCGATTGTCTGGGCCGAAACGACGCCTGTCACAATACCCTCGTCTGACTTTACAAAACATCGGTCGCCCCGCCGCCGAACCCACACCTTGTCCCCTACCTGGTATACACCGGGTTTCTTCAGCGGCAGGGCGTCACTAGGCTCGTCTGAGGTTCTGCGGGGCGTCACGTCAACGTCTCGGCCAGGGTGTCGAAGCACCCCGTTGATTGGAGCTGTGGCCGGGTCACTGCCATCCTTCGGTGTCACGTTGTATCGATGGACTGCTTCAGCAACGGAGCAGGACTGCCGGGCCACCATCACTTTGATGGTACGATGATGGCGCTCGACGATGCCGTTCCCGCCGGGCTCGTAGGCAGCGCGGAACCGGATGGATACGTCCCAGCGAGCCGCGAACGCTAACATGACCCGGCCACGGAACTCTGTCGCATTGTCCGTGAGTATTTCCGCCGGGGCTCCACGCTCTAGAAACACGTTCTCCAGCTCACTCACAATCTCCAGAGCTCCTGCCCGGCGAAGCCGTCGCCATATGGCGTACCTCGACGGCCCGCAGTCCACCAGCGTCAGGTATGGGTGGCCGTGCACGTGGGTGACATCCATGGCCAGGCGATCCCACGTGCGTTCTGTTCCGAGTGACCCACCGGGCCAGCGCTCCGGCGCCGGGTCAATCGAGGCACACGTCTGGCATCGTCTGACCACGTCTCGCACAGCTGGTTTTGACACCCGCCTCACCCCCAGCTCACGTCGGGCGTACCACAACGTTCTCCTCACTCCTTGGTGACCGATGTTTTCGTGGATGGTGCGGATGTCACTCGCTGAGGCACTTGTGATGGCAGCGACAGCCACCGGTTGTGCTTTGGACGAATCAGTGGTTGGCTGGTCGGCAGTCTGCAGCCAGGCGTTGGGCACCCGCGTCACCTCATCAGCACGGTTGACCGCTGACGCGACCAGCTCGATAGTGACCTCCAGTTCGTACTCGATGACGAGCTGACGGAAAACAGCCACGCGCCGTCGGATAAGCATTTCGGACTGCGCCTTGGTTCGCAGCCTTGCCTTACCCGACAGCGCGTCACTCAGCCAGCGGTGCACCGTCACCGAGTCTGTCCGGAGCGTCAGGCGACGGAAGCCCCATGCTACCGCCAGGTTGACACCGTTGAGAGCGGCATCCAGTTCTGAGATATTGATGTGCACGTCCCTCTCCGATTCGGCACGCAGCCAGGACGCGTCCTCGATGATGGCGCCCGTGTCAGGGTCAGTGAGCACGACACCGCGGGCGATGGAGCTGGCGTCGGTCC